AGACAGACAGACAGACAGACAGACAGACAGACAGACAGACAGACAGACAGACAGAGACAGATACAGAGAGAGAAGAGTAAAGGGATGAGTTAAAAGAGCCAGTGGGCAGCAGCGGTACTCACCTTCGGCACCTATAGAGACGAGCTTGACACCCTTGGAGGCTATGAAATCCAGGGCTTTGTTCACGTTGGCGATCTTGTGAAAGCGCATCTTGCCACGGTCTGGCTTGGGTAAGTGCTCCCCGGAGATCACCTCTAACAACAGCATCAGCTTGAGGCCGTTCCGAAAGTCCTCCTCGATGTTCTCGATTTGGTTCTGTGGGCCAGTCTTTCGTAAGTGGGAGTTGCACCATGCTGTAAACGTCTGTGGGGAGCGAGAGAAAAGGAATAGGTTGGGTTTTTTTTACGTGATCACAAACAAGTATCAAGTAACACTTTCACATCATGTATTTCCCCATTCAGTGACTGCTGATTGATTGGGTAGATGTTTTACGGCACTATCGACACAATTTTTTCGGTGACTGCAGTTTAGTTTAGTTTTACAGCACTTGCAATATATCCAGTTCAAATAAGTGCCGAAGACTTACAGGTGTGTTACAAGAGTACCATGGGAAGGAAAAGAGGAAACACTGATGTCTGCAATAAGTGTGGACAATGAAAGAAACAGTCAGGCACAACTAATCCAAAGTCTCAAGTCGAGTTTTCCTTTGAACAAGGTTTATTGTAGGTAAAATAAAGACTCAGAATGTGGGTAAAGTACCAGAAAAAAGTTCTAACTAATGTTAGAAAAAGAAAAAAATTGAGGTAGTGCAATATTCTAGGTCGATGAACCCAATATACATCCTCCAAAGAACACATGCTACAGTAAAAACACTGATTGAAAAGAATCATTAACCTATTTTGATCACTCAAGAGTTAAAAAATTCATGAAGATAGTGGTAACAACAAGGAAAAAAAGGACACGCCTCCCTCCCTCTATTTTCTTCCACAATCACGTATTATGAACCACCATTTTTTGAGAAGATGCCTGTGCCGGCCAACAATCCAGGAGCCCACACACACACACACCCGAACCGTCACACAAAGACCACAACTGAAGATTGCCCTAAAAATCGATTAGGCCCTTGCAATTATCGCTTCTGCAACCCC